TCGCCTCCTCCCTCCCCAGTTTGGCTCTTCTGCCTGACGCAGCCCAGAGGACCTGTGGCCACACGTCCACCGTGGAAAGGGGGTGACAGGCTGAGCCAGGGAACCGGAGCCAGGACGTCTGGACGAGACGAGCTGGCTCTCCTAAACGGTGATATCGGGGCCCACTGTCACCACCACCACGGAGGGCGGGTCAGAGGGGTTCGTTCTCCCCCTGCCCACTGAGCACCTGTGTGTGCAGGGACCACAGCGCTCCAGGCACTGCGGTGACCTCCAACCGGCACCCTGTCACTTAGCCCTCACCAAAAACCCACAGGGTTGCTAGTGTTGGCCCCACCTCGCGGATGAGAAAACAGGGCAGGAAGGATAGGTGGCTGGTTCGATTGAGCCAGGTGCTCCAGGCAGTCAGGGCCCAGGCCCCCACAGCACACCGCCTCCCATGTGGGCATGGGCCAGGGTGATCTGTGGGATGTCCCCTGCTTCCTTGTCCCTAGCCCGAGGCAGTTACGCCCACCTCCCTCCCAGCGGGGGCGCCCCCGGGGCTGGGACCTGCCCCCCTGCTCACTGCTCTAAGTCGCTTCTGGAGCTGTCACTTCCTGCCTCAGCGTCCCTGCCTGCTCCTCTGCAAGCAGCCCCTACCTAATCCTGGACCTCCACTCTGGCTTCACTGCAGACACTCCCGAGTTCTCCCTGGAGCCTTCCCGGGAGGTAGTCACCACCTTGACCGTGACTGCCACGGCTCCCCGTGCGGCCTGTGGGGTCAGGCCCTGCAGTCTCACCGCAGGTCGGCCTCTGCCTCTTCCCACACACAGACCTCACTGTCCATGCCAGGGCTTCCCCGCACAAAGCCTGAGCCCCAGAGCACCCTCCACTCCCCGTGTCTGCCCTGCTTGCCGTCCTCACGTCTGACCGGCCATGAAGGACTCCCCGGCTAGACGCACGGCCTGTGCGGACCAGTAGCTGTATCCCCTGCCCCCCCAGACCTGGTGCTAGCTCCTGACACACCATGAGAGGCCCCAGTGGCAGGTGGGAAGTCTGGGGGTAGCTGACGGCGAGGTCCTGCAGTCCGCAGCCCCTGTCTCCCTCACTCTGGACGCCGAGGCCTCAGGCCTTGACTGCCATCGATCTCACTCTTCCCCTGGGCTCTGCCTTCTGCAGAGCCTGGCAGACACCGCGTCTCCCCTTCAGAGGCTGCAGAGCTGGCCTGACCTGCCCACCTAGCCCCTCCTCGGCCTTCTCCCATTGAGAGACCCACTGCCCTGGGTGGGAAAGCAGCACCGTCTCCCTCCTGCTCTGGCTGGGGTCTGCCATCCTGTGGTCTCACAACCCAGAGACCAGGACAGAAAGTTTAGCCAAGGAAGGAGGGGAGAGAGGGACTCTGAGGGACACAGTACTGACCACAGGCTGCAGAGCCCGGCTGGGTGCCCGCTGACCGCGGTGAAATGCTGCTACCTGCTGGCCATGTTGCAGAGCTGCAGGCACCCGATGCTGGGCCCCGCAGAGAGACGGGAACAAGCCCAGCAGCTTCCACCCCTCCTGCCCCTGAGCCCCCTCCTGGTCAAGTTCAGAAGGTTCAAAGGGACGGAAAATCAGCCTCACCCCAGGCTGGGACGCTGTCGTTGGTGCTGCTTTTTGCTGCTCTGCTGCTGTTGACAATTCAGTAATAATCTCACAATCTCTCAGTTGGGAGCACTTCTACACAGGTGCCCCGCACACGTGGCCAATGCTCATGCGGCGCTTCGCCACACCCCTCCCACTGAAGCCCCCGTTGGGCCAGACAGCTTGCCCAGGGTCACTGCTGGCGGGGAGGGCGCAGCACAGCCAGGATGAAACAGCTGCAGGCAGCGCGGTCCTCGGAAGCCGATCCTCAGCTCCCACCCGGCTACCCCGGCCCCTCCCAGCTCCTCTTCAGTCTCCTTGGCCCTCCTCTCCTGCCACCTCTTCCCAGACGCTGGTTTTGGCCTCTGAGGCTGTCCACGTTCTGGTCATTGTTCCAGGATCATGAAATGAACCCACCCTGCTATCACGGAGCCCAGACCCCCTTGAGCAGAGCACGGAGGCCTCTGGGGTCCCAGCCTGCCTCCCTCTGGATCCTCTCCTCTGATAGGGACCTGAAGCCCTGACAGTTCTAGTCTAAAGGAGAGGAGAGGCGGCTGGGTGGGGTCAAGGGGGACCTGGGCACTCACTCTGCCGGGCTCATAAACCTGTCCCAGTCACAGACCCCCTACCTGAGACCACACTCTGATTTCCCAGCCCTTTCCAACCTCCTGTGGTCTCTGCCTCACGGGCTGTTGGAGCTGGAAGAGCACCCTGGAAATGATCCAGAGAAAAGACCTCATTTGGCGAACCAGCAGGTGGCATGGTGGTTAAGGTGCTGGATGTTCCTACATGGCTAACCACGGTTCGAGTCCTGGACCTGGTGGTTTGCTTTCTCGCTTTCTGTCTCTCTCTGGTCAAATTAAAATGAATGAATGAATAAAAATTTTAAGAAAAAAAGACCTCGTTTTATGACCGGTCCAGACCGGGCAAGAGATTTTCCAGATCACACAGTTGAGTGACAGAGCCAGCGTGAGAGTGTAGGTCTCCCCACCTCCCAGCTCAGCCCAGCAAGGCCTCCCTGCTTCCCAGCCCAGGCTCTGGGCAGGCGCCCCTTGTCCACCCACATCCCAGTGGGTGAAGATGGGTCCCAGGGAGCATGGGCTGGGCTGAGAGCCACAGAGGTGGGGATGGGGTCCAGTTCCTCTCCTCTCAGCCCTCCCTGACTACTTGGGGCCTGCCATAGGCCTCCCCGATTCCTCAGTCAGGGGAGGAAGGAGTCCCCTGATTGCTTTAGAGCCATGGTTCTACTGAGGACGGCTCTGGGGGGGACTGGGGGCATGCTGTTCTCAGGGGTCCCCGCCCAGGTTCCACTCAGGACCTGGGGCTCCAGACACTGCTGTCCTTCTAACTCCCTTCACAGGCTCCAGGGTGCAGGAAGCAGCTCCTGGTGAGGTGGGGGCCCAGGACGAGCAGGACCTGGCTGCACCTACAGCTTCTGGCCTGCAGTTCCCATAAGGTGCCTCCCCTCTGGAGCCGTGGGCTCAGGGGCCCCACAAGGCCTTTCTCAGCGAGGCTGCAGCCCTGCAACCAGGCGTGTGGCCCCCTCGCCATCACAGCCACAGACACTGCAGGTCCCTGGTGCCACGGAGGGTCACCTGCTCCTTGCAGGCCCTTGCACAAGGCCCAGCACCAGTGCAAGAGTGGCAGGGGGCAGCGGCCAAGCCAGGGACACTAGAATCCCAGCCCCGCTTAGTGGCCAGAGCCTGCTGGTCCTGCTGGCAGTAGCATATTCCTGACGGCCTGAAGGCCCTCCCTTGTGCACCCACCTTCCCCTCCTTCCCCTCCTCCCCTCTCCTCCACCTCTCTCTTCTTATCTATGACCCATCCCACCTTCTGATCCCAGGAGTCCCCTCCCTGGTCACTGGACAGGATCCCAGGGCTCCCCTGGCCCAGTGGTGGGGAGAGGGACAGGGGAGAGTGCTGTCATAACCAGCCAGCAGCCATGGCATTCAGGGGCTCTTACTGGGGATGAGGGCCACTTCCCTGGGCACCTGGTGGGAGCAGATTGAGGACCATGACAGCAGAGAGGCCTGGCGTGTACCAGCCATGCCAGGAGAAAGGGTGTGGCTCTCTTGCACCCTATTCTTTCTCTACCGAATTATGCTTCCTCCTGGCTTCCTTGCCTCTTCCAGGAAGCCTTCCCTGATTATCCCTCAGCCTCTCTGGGCTACCAAGGCCCAGAAGGCCCCATCTCTTTCCTCCACCTCCGAAACCCGGGGTAGCGTCACCCTCAGGATCCTGCCTCTCCTGCCAGCCTCAGCTGTGGGCTCTTCTGCCCAGAAAGGGGTCTGCAGCCTCTGGTCCACCTCTGCTGCAGCCCCCGTGAGCACCAGAGTGCTCGGATCACAGGCTCCTGGCACCTCCCTGGAGGCCCCAGGATAGGCTGGCAGGGACTGAGCACTGAGGACCTGCAGAGCATTCACTCCCCCCACACTGCGCGCACACGCACGCGCGTGCACACACACACACACACACACACACACACACACGCACACACACAGAGGTTCTCGCCTGTGCTCACTGTTAACCATGGCCTGCCTCCTGTACCCCAGGGGCTAGGGAGGTGGGAAAGGGTGGGAGGGAGACTTAAAGGAGCTACACCTCTATGCGTCAGAGGGGTGTGGCTCTGAAGCCCTGCAGCCAGTCCCTCCAGGGACCCTCAGGGACACACTGGCCCAACACAAGAGCAGGGAGTGATCCGAGGTTTATTCAGGAGGGTACAGTCCACGCTGCCTGTCTCCCTCCCTACCCCTGCACACTGGCCCTCTCACACCCCCACGGGCCTGGTGGAGCAGGGAAGGGATGGCTTCCGGCTGCTTCTCCAAGACTGGGGAGAGAAGAATATGTAGACAGAGTCGCCCAGCATCCCCCTCCCTGGACCCTGGGCTGGTGACCCGCAGCAGGGAGGGTCCTGGGGGCAGAGGCTGCCCTGGGGGCACGGGCAGGGCTGTGTAGAGGCACCTGGCAAACCCCCATGCCAGGGAGAACAGCAAACTCCGCACAAGTGACATTCCGTAGGTAAGGGTGTCCCCCGGACTGGGCCAGCCGCCATCCTCCAGGCCGGTGATGTCACGGTAAGGTACACGTGTCCCCCGGCAGGTGGGAGGAAGGGGCACCCCAGCCAAGATGGTGCTTCAGCCGGGATGGCCGCCCTCTGGGAACCGCAGACTCAACGTGGATATGGTGAACTACGGCCAGGGCAGGTGGCCCCTGGGGTGGCCGAGGCTGGGTAGGACCTGAGAGGGCACAAGGGCCAGTCTGCTCCCGACAGGGCCAGGCTGCTGGGAGAAGGAGGACTGCAAGGCTGGGGGGCAGGCGGCTGCCTTGCTCAGGCACCCCAGAAGGGCCTTGGGGAGGGCAGGCCAGCAGGCGGGGGCGGGGGAGGGGAGTGTGGGCTGGGCCAGCAGGCGGGGGCGGGGGAGGGGTCTGTGGGCTGGCACAGACAGGACAGCACCCTCCGCTGGCGCCAGCGACGCAGCCCAGGAGGAGGCAGAAGTGAGGAGCCCCATCTCTCTCCCGCCTCGCGATGGGTTGGCCTGGAGCACAGGGACATGGTGACCATGGAGCAGGAGCACAGTCGGCAGGGGCAGGGCAGGATGGGCTCTGACCCCCCAGAAGAGCACAGCAGCTGAGGAAGCGAGGGCAGCAGGGTCGGGGAGGGCAGGGTCACCGCCTCATGTCTTCCTGCCGGAGCTCACGGGGCCTCGTTGGACCCCATTCCGTTGCCTTTGTTGACGTAGAAGGGCCGGTAGTGAGACTGCAGGAAATGAGAGAGGTCAGGGAGCCCGGGTGCCAGGAGTCCGCCAGGCACCTCCCACCCCGAAGCTGCCTGGTCCGAACCCCAGTTCCAGGGCCTTGTGGCTAGGCCTGCAAGATCTACCTACCCCGGGTCGCTAATGGCTTCTGAGTCCCTGGTTCAAGTCCTAATTCAAGTTCCTTCTGTCGGTTGGTTGTGAGCTGAAGCTCCATCCCCTCTCTCCACGGCCAGGAAGACCAGCCCAGCACCAGCTACTATTTATCTAGCATTTTCTACTCTCTGAAACAAGGCAGCACCCGGCCAAAGGCTTTATATGGACGGGCTCATTTAATTTTACAACCACCCAATTAAGTAGATTACTGTTATCACATCCATTTTATAGCTGAGCCAGCCAAGGCGCTGAGAGGCGAGGTAGCCGCCTCAGGGTGGCCAGCTAGGCGTGGAGGAGCTGAGACTCAAGCCTCAGCAGCCGGCTCCAGCGTCCACCCGGCCACCCCCGTCTCTGGGTATCTGTTCTTGCATCCCAAGGCCTTCCTGGGCTTGCGTCTGCTCTCTCTGCTGAGTTCTCCCTCCTGGAGGGATGCAGAGAAGACAGAGCTGCCCAGCCCAACACAGACCCTCCTCTGCCCTCGCCTCCCTCATTCCGGCCCCTCATGGGTTCTGGGAAGCGTTACGGACAGGGCCCGGCCGCAGCTGCCTAGCCTGCTCTGTGCCAGCATCGTGCAGGGACTTGGGCTCGGTGCCCGCTGCTCCCAGTCAATCAGGCGCAGGCCCAGAGAAGTGGGCCCTCCTGATCGAGAGAACAAATTTTTTTTGCTATGGGGTATGCTTGAGAAATCACCCCCTGGAAAAAGAAATGTAATACGCTGTAAAGTTACATGTGATTGAATGTAATATAAGCAAGATTATGATACTAATAACAAAATTTAAAGAAAGAAAAAACATAATGCATGCTATAAGGATGTACAGTAATTAAATGTAAAAAATTATATTGTAAATTTTTTTTGGTTAAAAAAATGTCAAATCCAGGAACCAGCAGGTGGCGTGGTGGTTAAGATGCTGGACACTCCTAAATGGTCAACCACGGTTCGGTGCGAGACCCAGGCCTGGGGCCTTGATTTCTCTCTCTCTCTCTCTCTCTCTCTGGTTAAATTAAAATAAATGAATGAATAAATAAAATTAAATGAATAATTCTTTAAAAAATTTTCAAATCCCCCCCTAAAAAGCAAGCATCCCCTGGAGGGGATGGTCACACCACAATCCTTCTCCTCCATTCTCCTCTCAGGATCTTGGGCACGCACGTACACACACTCGGAGCGAGTTTCAAGCCACCAGGCCTGAGACTTGAACTGCGGCCAACCAGCACCTTAACCACCATGCTGCCTGCTGACTCCAACAGGAGCAAATCTTAGCTTCCACTCACCAGGTGAGCACTGCAGCCCCTGGAGGGTCTCAGGAAGTGGATTCATCCCTGAGCTGAGTCAGACTGAGCCTGCCCCATGGCCCGCGATCTCCACACAGGAGACCCCATCTCCCTACAAGCCCCTGAGGGTGTCCACAGCCCGGCCTGGCCCTGCCCTCCTGGAACTCACACCTCTTGGTCGACTCCTTCCAAAGCCCGATCCACAGCGGGACTCAGGGCCTGTGGGCACGGGGCTGCCAGTCTTGGGCTCAGACCTTAGCCAGATCACCCATTAGACAGAAGGAAACACTGAGACCCAGAGAGGGACGAGGACACTGACCATGTCACCCAGCCACTCGGTGGCAGAGCAGGGCCCAGAGCCAGGTCTCCTGACTCAAGTACCAGCCTAGACCCCAAGGTGGCCCACCAGGCCAAGTGAATAGACGGACAGGAGGGAGAGGCCGAAGCAGACGATCTGCCCAGAGGGACCGGTGGGCAGGATCATGGCCCCTGGCATCAGGCAGGGAGCTTCCCCTCCCCGACCCCTCCCTGGCTCAGGGTTGCAGCAAGTGAGAGTTGGAAGGGCCATGAAATCACATCGCCCTTCCAATTCATGTCATAGTTGGGGAAACTGAGGCATGAGTGCAAATGACTCATATAGTCAGCTGGTCAGAGGGCTGGGGCCAGACCCTGGTGCCCTGCCCCGAGCCCAGCCCTCCTGTCCACTGGTGCCTGTCTCCCTCTCACATCGCTGACTCACCTGGACGCAGCCATGCCTGCCTGGCCCTCTTCGTGGGGATAAGCTTTCCCTGCTCTGGGAGGTGGGCAAGGGTGGGGCAGGAACAGTAAAGGCTGAGTCTAAGAATAGGATCTTCTTTTTTCTCTCCATATCTGCTTTTTGCAGTCCCCCTGGGCCTGACTCCTAGTCGCACACGCCGTCCCTCCGACCTTGCCAGCACTGGGAGGTCTCTCTAATAGACCTGTCCTGGCTGCTCCCGGTGCTTCAGAGCAAGTCACCTCCCCATGCTGTGACCTCCAGAGTCATGGGTGACAGGAGCCAGAGGTTCAGAACCTGTCCCAGACACCTCTGATGCCACCCACACGCCAGAGCAGGCCCTCAAGGGACTCAGGAGAGATGCATTGGGGAGATGGAGGCTTGGGTGTGAACAGCCATCCTGACCACAGAGGGCTGGGAGGGGGCCAGGCACCCAGGGGACCGCCTCGGTGCACACCTGCTTTAAAGAACAGAGACTCGAGAGGGCCCCGTGGAGGACCCCACTGCCAGCAGATGCCTGGACGCAGACCCGCCTCCCATCCA